ATATATATATATATATATGTGTATATATATCTATACTGTATATATATATATATATATACATATATATACAGTATAGATATATAAGAATGTTTCTGTTCAGTACCCTGAGATGACTTGGAGCTATATAAATAAACTGAACTGAATTGAATTCCATAGACATTTACAGAAACTGCTGCAGGTCTTAATGAACAAACTGTGTTCAGAACAGAAATTAATCCTGTCAGAACAACTAAAACAGGTGCAGACACATCAACGATGTAAACACTGAAAACAATTCATACATCTGTAAATATCCTGATGCATGTTCAATAATCCAGGTAGAAAAATCTAAAAAAAGTTAAATCTGGTCCTCTGGACATTCAGAAAACAAAACAACAAAAAAATGTAGAAACATTTCTTCTTTCATCTGAAAGACTTCTTCAGTCTGAGGTGCCTTATTCAGCTCAGTCTTATAAATAGCATAGAAGGTGCTATTTATAAGACTGAGCTGAATACAGCACCTCAGACTGAAGAAGTCTTTCAGATGAAAGACGAAACGTTTCTACATTTTTTTGGTTGTTTTGCTTTGTTTTTTTTTTAAACGTCCAGAGGACCAGATTTAACTTTTTTAGACATACATCTGTAACTATTTGTATTGCATAGTCAGAGTTCCCAGACAGTGTAAGGTTCCAAAATCAAGTTTCGACTCAACTAAATAAAATTAGATTTATTTTAGCAAGGTTGTTTCAGTTGAAGAAGGTTGCAGGTTTGTCTCATGTCCTGGTGGATGTGTGGAGTTCGCATGTTTTTCCTGTGCATGTGTCGGTTTTCTCTGGTTCTTCTAGTTTGTTTGGTTAAGTGGCATTTAAACTGGACCTAGATGTGAGTGGTAGTCTGTTTCATTTGTCTCTGTGACCCTGTGATTTACAAGATATCTATGGTGACTTCTCTGCAAGTGATGAAGGAGAACTGTGACTGTGTTGCTCAACAAGGAGGGCAACATGTACAAGCCAGCACAAAGGCAAGAAGAGGCAACTGCACCAGAAGACTCATCAGTACAGAAAGGACCTTCCCTAACACCAGGTCGATTTGTGACCAGAAAGTCACAGGTTCAGTTCCCCTCCATGCCCACATGTTGTGGTTTCCTTGTTCAAGACACCTAATCCCTAAGTGTGTACCCATGTGTGTGCTGGGTAAATACAGAGGACCGTTTCTGTTGGGTGAGCAGTGATGACGACTCGATCACTTCACTTTCATTTGTGTTAAAAGTACAAACTACACACCAGTTTTTAAATCGTGTTGATATGCCAAATAAACCAGAGTTAAGATAAATTATTCACGCCACATCTTTTTCTGAAAATGACGGCCATATTTGAAGTGTGTGGAGCAAACGGCAGCTGCAAGAAGAAAACGTTGGTTACGTACTGTAACCCCAGATTCTATGAGTATAGGCGTAGCCCTTTAAGGCTGTCGCTGATGGGTTTATCCCGATATGCGAAGCATTGCACTGAAAAATTTAGTCTACGCCCACCTGCTGTGTGGGCCCCACCCGGTCCGTATAAATTACGTTAAGAGCAGGAAATCAGCTCCCAAAATAGCTTTTTCTTCAGCCATTTAGGAGCCAGTGAGGCCTGACGCTTAAAGGGCTACGCCTATACTCATAGAATCTGGGGTTACAGTACGTAACTAACGTTCTATTTCGTATAGGCTTAGCCCTTTAAGGCTGTCGCTGATGGGTTAAGGGCGGAGCAGATGTTGTCCTCGCCTCACTGGGTCCATTCGAACACCGTATGAAGTAGAAGCTGGCCCAAAAAAACGTCTTGTCACTCAGCTCCCCATGTGCGTAATTACGCATTGCATAATTATGTGTGCCATGCACAGACGCATGTTGTGTAACTATGCGTTCTGAATGCATGAACGCCCCGGAAAATTCAACGGGGAGGGAAAAGTGCTGAAAAGAGCCATGAACCAACCGGTTTACAGCTGAACAGTATGAACAGATTAATAATAACAGGAGAGCTGATTATTAATCAAATGAACTGATTGGTAACAATAGTCGTGAACTGATTAGTGACAATAGAACCAAAATAACAATCACAATTTGTGATTGATAACAACATCTCACACTGTAATGCATGCAGACAGATGTGAGTTAAACAGAGTTCCATGAAACAACAATATTAATTCTGTAAACACTAAGGACAGA